CAGGGCCTTGGCACAGGACGTAACCCCAGAGCATCTGTGGAACGGATCTCTGGGTTTAAGAATACGACTGTGTAAAGCAACAGGATGGACATCCTTGCACAAGTGTTTGTTCTGGGCCTCTTGATCTGGTTCCCTGGTTAATGTTTATTTTAAAAAAAAAAGAAAAAGTGGATCATTCCTAAGAAAAGGCAGCCTATTTTAGGGACATTTCCATTTACTCAGAAAATACTATGCATTGCTTTTGAAAAGGAATTGAACTTCTAATATTCAATGTCATTTTTTTTCTCTTGCCCCAGAGCTTGCTTTTTATAAGCAGGGGCTTTATAGTGTTGTGGAAAGTTTATTCCTATTTTTGTCCTTGTAGAATATCTGATACCACTGACTTCATTAGTTCTGGCTCGAGGCGAAAGTTGTGTGGACTTAGGTATAAAGAAACCTGGGAAAAGGGGGGTCCAGGTTGGGCTTCTGAGTGACCCTGAATGGGTAGGTAACTTACAGTCTGGGTCTGTGTGTCAGCACCTGTCTCTGAGAGGGTAGGACTTGAAGATTCATGAGGATTTCCCAGCTCTCAGATGATGCTATTGTAGACCTCCCCATGCATTTCTGCTGGTAGCAGGATGGCTTATTGAGGTAAGAGGTCTCTGGCTCACCGAGTTTGTCTTAGCTGTGTGCCCTGCTTGAGAACTGTTACTTGAGTTAGTTTGTAAAAGCTGTTGGCACTTGCTCAGAAGGTTCAAGAATATTTATATTTGGGGAGCGCCTGGGGGTCTCAGTCAGTTAAACGTCTACTTTCAGCTCAGGTCATGATCCTGGGGGCCTGGGATCGAGCCCCACGTTGGGCTCCCTGCCCAGCAGGGAGTCTGCTTCTCCCTCTCCCCTGCTTATGTGAGCTCCTTGTCTCTCTCTCACTCACTCTCAAATGAATAAGTAAAATCTTTAAAAAAACAAAAATGAAACAAGAACAAGGATGTTTATATTTAGATTTAAAAAGTCCATATTAGCAAAAGAGATGGAACTCTGGATTCTCTTCTCTTCTGTTTTCATTTCTCTTCTGTTCTCAAAACCACTGATACAGAAAGTCTCCAGCTTGTCTGTCTGAACATGAGTTTTATGATGTGTTTCAGTGTGTTACATCATCTTTAAAATACTGTTTTGTTACAGGTGTTTTATGAGGGATAGGATCCTAGCACAGCCCCTGTGACAACTGAAATCATCTGGCTGTTCTCAGTGTTCAGCATGCTCAGTGGTTTTGCAGGGTGTCTGGGTGACCAGATCACCATTTGTAAGACTGTTATTTCCTTGGTAAACATGTTCTGTTATGTCCTATAGATGGCAGGAACGGGGTAACCTCTTACCTCATGATGTGAGGGAGGAGAAGGAGGGTCCAAGGCAGACAGTGGCTTTTGTGAGGAGGCATCCCGGTGGACCGGCTGCCTCTCCCAGGCCTTGGCCCCCAGCCTCCCTTGGAAGCATCAGGGGCTCACACTACATTTCCCTTCTGTAGCCACAGAACACAGTCACTCCAAACAGAGTGGCTTAATCAGGACATCTATCGTCTCATGGTTCTAGGAGTCAGAGGTCTGGTTGTGGTTCAGCTGGGTGCAAGTTGAAGGTTGCAGTCAAGATGGCAGCCAGGGCTGCTGTGTTGTCTGAGGCTCGACTAGGGAAGGGTTTGCTTCTAAGCTTACGTGATTGTTGGCAGTTTCTTGTGGACTCTCAGACCTAGGGCCTCTGTTTCGTGTTAACCATGAGCTGGAGGCTGCCGTTACATGACTCTTCTTCTGAGCCAGCAAGGGAGGGAACCTTGTAGCAGGATGGACATGACAGCCTTAGGTATGTGAGGTAACCAAATGTATCCCACCATTTTTGTTTATTCCACTGGTTACAATAGAGTCTCAGGCCCTACCCTGCTCAAGGGGAGGGTGTGACAGAGGCGCGGGTGAGGAGCCACAGGGATCATGGGGTTGTTTTAGAGTTGACCACACTTGAGGCTGGCTGGGAGTGTGGATTCTCTCTGCCCCACTGCCCTGTCTGTGCATTTTCTGTCTTCACCAGGAGCCTGTTTCTTGTCCCTTCTTTCTTCCTCCAGCCTGCAGAGAATTCAGTAACTGGGTGGCGTTTCCTCTTCTCTTCTGCTGTAGAAACAGAAGGGAAAGGTAGCAGGAGGCTCTGCCTTGGTGAGCAGCTCCCAGGCTGTCAGCACCCTGCCTGGTTGGCTGGTAATTTGAATGTGTGACACATTCCCTAGCCGGTATTTCTAGGTCATAATATGCTCTCTATAAAGTACCCGAGTGGGGTCTTTTCAGCTTCGGTGTTTTGTGATCAGTGCTGTCTTTAAACAAGTGCTGACCTCCAAAGTGAGTTCACTTTCCCAGTGTCATCCTCTTACGGGTTCTCGCGATGACTGTGCTTTAGATTGTAGTTTAGAATCGCTAGTGGTTTGGGTCCCTTCACGCTTTGGCCCCATTAACTGATCTTTGGTATCATTATCTCTCCAGTCATCTCTGGGGTGTTTTTTGCCCTTTCTCCGGCCTGCTCCTGGGCTCTGTCTTAGTCTTCAAGTACTGCTCTTTGTCGTCCCTGAGGAGACGGTGTGGTGCTATGGTTAAGAACCAGAGCAAAGCCAGACAGCCTGGGTTTGAATCCCAGCTCTGCCACTTATTAGCTGAGCAGTCTCAACACGCGATCGCACTTGCTTTGGGACAGGTATTAACAAGTCTGAGTTGTCTACTGGCCAGCAGACCTCTGATGGCAGCTGCTGCCCCCACTTTGCTCCCAAGATGGATATGCACTGATAATCGGAGCGCTTTGTGCCCTGTCACAAAATGAAGTGTTTCTTCAGGTCTTTCTCTGGCCTCCCGGTAAGAATGGCGGGAACATATTGGCGCCTATGAGGACACTTCCCTTTTCTGGTGACATTGCCCTGACACCTGCTTTGCCTCCTCAGGATGAAGACCGCGTACAGCTTCTGTTTGCCGTGAGTTTTACAAAACCGTTTGCAGGCGTGGTGTCCTTCAGCTGCTCTCACGATCCCGGGCTGTGGGACGGCCATGACTGCCATGCTCAGGCCTATAGATATTAACTGGGGCAAGGTCTTTCAGGCAGACGAGGGGGCATTGTTCTAGGTGACCACGGAGCACGTGCTCTTAATGACCATAGGACACTGTCCCCCACAGAGCAGGCTCAGACCCTTTGTAGTGCACCAGCTCCCCAGTCTGAGCATCCAAAATGACACATCTTAGGACACAAGTGCTTTTCTGCACTTCTGCAGCCTTTGGCAAGTGCTGTCTGCAGGTGTCTTGGCAGACACGTGCTTTTGGGTTGCGTGCCCACAAGACTCTTCCTCTTCGGGGGCAGGTGTGGCCTAGAGGACAGGGTGTCCATTCAAAACAGGAGCGTGGGGGCGCCGGGTGGCTCAGTCGGTTAAGCATCTGACTCTTGGCTTGGCTCAGGTCATGGTCTCAGGTCACGAGATGGAGCCCCGCGTCAGGTTCCACAGCCAGCGGAGAGTCTACTTGGGACCGTCTCTCCCTCTGCCTGTGTCCCTCCCCCTGCTCGCGCACACTCCCTCCAATAAATTAGTCTGAACCGAGCAGAACAGGAGTGCGTTCCTTTCAGGCAGGTTTCTGCATGACTGTTGTGGAATCTCTAAGCTGCGGGATTAGGAAGAACGGGGCTGCTGGCGGCCTCAGCCAGGAGTTCACGTCCAGACCGTGCTTCAAGCACATCAGCTACGTCGGTTGCTTGTATTCTCGCGATCCTACCACCGCACTGCGTTCCCGTGAGTGCCCTTCCCCTCCACCTCCTCCCAGCCCCTTCCCCACCCCCAGTTCCTGGCACAGCGCGTGGGGCCAGACCGAGAGTTCGTTCACGCCACTTGTTGAAGTTGCTTATTCTTTTGAATGACTGTAGTGGTGGCACATTACCAGCTTGGAGGAGGAACTTGACTGTGCGAACCTATTAAAATATTTTCCATCAAAGCAAACAATGTGGGTCTTGTTAAAAAGATCAGGACTAGTTATAGTTGTACTAGTTGTAAGGAGACAGATTTTCTTGTGGGCATTGTCTGCTGGTTTTGAAGGTGAAAGAACACGGCTCAGCCTGTGCCAAGCAGTTGGCATCATCAGAGTGAGTCCCAAAGACGATGATGTAGGAGGGGTCAAGGAGCCCTTTTATTCAGATACAAAGTTCTGTTTAAAAGTTGCTGTTACTGGGGTGCCTGGGTGGTTCAGTCGGTTAAGTGTCTGCCTCGGCTCAGGTCATGATCCCAGGGTCCTGGGCTCGAGCACAGCATCAGGCTCCCTGATCCGCAGGGAGCCTGCTTCTCCCTCTCCCACTCCCCGCTGCTTGTGTTCCCTCTCTCGCTGTGTCTCTCTCTGTCAAATGAATAGATAAAGTCTTTTAGAAAAAAAGTTGCTGTTGCATCTCTTGTGGGTCTTTTTTTTTTCTTTCTTGAAAGCCTCACTGACGAGTCCATGCTGTTGTTGACGAGGCTGTGGTGGGAAGCTAGCTGTGGTGAGAGGCTGCCTGTTGCTGTCAGCGTGGCTGTTCTTCCCCACAGATGCCCGCGGAGCACTTGGCATTGCACCCCAGGAGAAGTAGCACTGATGGAAGTGATTCATTCCCTCTTTCAAGAATTTATCATCAAGGAAAGAAACACAGAGCCGCTCTGCAGAACAGTCCCCAGGGCACAGCTAGAGGTTTCCGCGTGCACCTTGGTAAAGGCTGTCCGCTAGGATGGGCACTGTTATTGGAGCTCTGCTCCAAACAACTTGGGAAAGTCTGACGTTCTTGTCAGAAGTCTGACTTGACCTCTCTCCAGTGTTCACACAGGGAAAGAGTCTGAATTTGATGGATGTAGGCGAGAATTGCAATCGAGGCCATGACTTTAAAAGACTCCTATACCTGCGTTCGTAAACACTCACGGTGGGCCCTGTATGTGTGTGCTCTCCAGTCTCCAGAACTTCTCTCCACCGTATGTCTCTGTCCTTCTCTTCCAGGCCTGGAAACTGAGTTTTGGAAGGATTCAGTAACGGACAGCCACTCCGCGGGGCCTGTCTGTCCAGCCTGAGTCAGAACCTTCTCCACTGTCCATGGTTTTGAAAGTCTTCCACACCGAGTGACCAGCCTAGAAAGCTCTTGCTGGCGGGTGAGCATGGGGCTCCTTCCTCTTGGTGTTGGGTTCAGTCTCTTATGTCCCTGACTTTGAGTCCTACCCTCCTAACTTACTGATGTTGGTAAGTTCTTTCCTTGTTACTAGGGTTTATGTGGCGTTTGTTCCATTTTCTCCTTTATCTGTGGCCCCCTGACTCTCCCTCCCCTCTCCCCCAACACACACACACACACACACACACACACACACACACCCTACAGGTTTGGAAAACTTGAGACTTCTTGTCTATTCTATAACTGAGGTGACAGAGTCTCTTTTTATAATTAATATGAATCTCTTTTCTCGGAATGACAACAGAGAGGCTTCAGGTGAGGAAGAGTAGCAGGTGCCTGTCTTGTAAGTCTGACCCCCTTGGAGCCATATATTTTTCCTAGAAAATGAGCAGTGGTTGCATCGTACCTGGTAGAAGTGGGATGTTTTCATTTGGGGCTCTTCTGTGAAGGTAAAGAAAACAGAACTTCTTGTCCCTAGGTTGTGGGCCTTAAAATGTTAGGAAATTAAAAAACAAAAGTAAAGCTTTTGTTCAGGATGCCTTGCTCTTGGAAGAAGGAAGGCCCTTTGCTGGGCATAAAACATTACTCCATGGAGTATATGAATCTCCAGTATTTGAACTGGACTTAGGGATGAGTTACTAGGGCTGATCATTGAGCACAGGTGTCCCTGGTTCTGGGATATACCCTTGTTGGATCAGAGCATGCTTGACACGGCAGATTTTCTCCTTCGTCTCATTTAATTCTCTGAACCTCACAGTATAGTGGGGAGCATCTTTCAGAAAAGTAGAAATTGAGGCTGGGAAGAGATGAACGGACTTTTTGCCAAGGTCGCATGGCTAATGAGTGGTAGGACTTGGAACCAAGGTTTGTCCATGTGGTGTCCTTTTGTTGATGTGGGTGGGTTGGGTTCCCTAACGATTGATCTTTCCTATTCTGTAAGTTTTGGCTCTATGCTGGGGTGCAATAGAGCCAAGGATAAGAGGAATCAGTATAGATGGTCACTTAATTACTGGTAAAGCGGGATTGGAGACCTCACCAGCATCTCTGAATCTAAAATGTGTGTTGACTCCAGCAGCTGTCACCTGCTGGTCTTCTGGTAGCATCTGGGCTTGTGGAGAGCTGGAGAGAGCTGGGCTTCCCCGCTTGGCAGGGCTGAGCCCTAAGTCAGTACCTCCTCACACACTCCCAGGCAGATCGGTCCAGAAGAGGGCAAGGAGGGGCTGGGGCAGGGAGAGACAAAACTGGCTTAGTCTGATACTGCTTCCTCCCAGCAAACAGACCAAAACCTCTTCCCAAAAACATAAGGCAGGGCACTAGAGGGGGTGTCTCCCCCAAGCCTCAGCCATTGAAACACTGCTCTTTAAATCTCTTTTTCTCTTGGGGTGCTCTCTGTTGTTACTCTGTCCTTCCTTTTTGATTTTGAAGAGAAAGGAGGAGATGACTATTTTCTCTCTATTTTGGTTATCAAGAAAGGAAAAAAACGAATGTAGAAATCCAGAAGTGGTCTTTTGGAGACCTGTGACTAACCAGATCCCTTCTCCTCGTGACAGGTGATGGAAGTGAGCTGGAGCAGTGGGAGAAGCTGGTAACTTCTCAGAAGCCAAGATGACAAGAATTGTTTTAAATAATCAGTAAGTGAAATTTTGTTAGTCCTCTGGAAGTCTTTGGTTTACTGGTGAACAGTGTCTAAGAGACGACGGTGGAAGAGTAGCTCGATCAGATAGCTTAAAAGTCTGAAAGAGAAAATGTTTAAAAAGTAAATATCCAGACACTTCAAAAAATGGATGCTAACATTTGCGCAGTTTTTGTGTGTTGGTAGGTGTGTCCTTTTACGTTGGGTGTCACAGCTGGGCAGACAGCATGAGTAATTAATGGATCAAAGGAGGACTCCTTTTATATTAACTTGGGACTAGCCCTTTGCAAATAGACATTCTTGTTCCCGTTGGTTCAGTGAGCAGCACGGCTTACCGACCTCGGGTGTGCACGTTTTGGGAAGTCCCCATGAATAAACGTGGCGAGTAGGCATAAAGTTGAGCTCTTTTCTCCCTTCCCACATCCCCCTTTGAGTATCCGTCTCATTTTTTACACAACAGAGGCCACAACTGGTTGCGGATGATTTGACAGTTAAATGTGGTTGCTTCCGGTTTCGTTTTGATGATGATAATGTTGGGACGAGAGGTTGTCATGTGAAAAGATTGTATACTTCCGAGTCAGACATTCCCTGGCCTGATTTTTGCCTTCGTACTTCTGTTGTAGTTTGTCAGCTTCTCCAGCTCTGTGCATGGGGCTCGGTCATGCCTCCCATGAGAGGAAGACCATGGGTCATACTCCGCGCTCTGACTGTGCTTCTGGGGCCACAATGAAAGGACAGCTGACCCTCATGCAGCCCGGGTTTGAACAGGTCCACTTGGATGTGGACTTTTTATCATCTGGTCCTTGAAATGTATCTTTTCTTCCTTGGGATTTCCTCTGAAACATTTTCTCCAGCTTACCTTGTGGTGAAAATACAGTGTATAATACGTAGAGTGTACAAGGTCTGCATTCATTGACTCGATGTCATCTGTGAGGCTTTAGTCCACGGTACGCAATCAGGAGTCAAGTTTCTGGAGAGTTCAAAGTTACACCCAGATCTTTGACTGAGTGGGAAGTGGGTGTCCCAGTGTGGTTCAAGGGTCGCCTGTGGTTGCTTTCCTTCCTTATATTTATATCATGATGTGTAGTTTACAAGCCCCAATCTGATACAGACCAACTTGACCTTCGTAGCTTCCGTCAGGCTGTGGGGGGTCAGTACTGCGGGCACTGCCATGCAGACAAATGATAAAAGATTTGGCCTGGGAGGGGGGACAGGGAGAGGAGTGGGTGGGGAGAAGGAGCTGGTACAGAGGGAAGACAAGGTTACAGCGCCTGCTGATTTCTCTGGTGTGAACACTCCTGGCCTGGCTGATTTCCCACCCCCAGCAAGGTCAGTGCAAGCGGAGCCAAGAAGCTGGGCAGGTGCACCCCAGCATCTGCTTCATACCAGCCACACACACAGGAGTGCAAGGAATGTCAAGCGCATAAACGCTAGTAAAATAGGAAGCGGTGAATTTGAGTATTTCTTCTGTTTTTTGTCTAATTTATTTCAGTCATGTATTTATATACTGTGACTTTTAACAATAGCTGTGTCGAACACCTGGCTTGCTGGAAACCCCGGGGGTCTGATGGTCTGCCCTGGGGGTGGGGGGGGCTGGTAAATCGGCACTGGTTATAGGTTTCCTGTGGCAAAGGCATCTTGAAGCCACTGTTCTTCAGGTATCTGTCTCAGCCCTGGTGATACGACATTGGTTGGGTTGGTCAAAACAAGGTTTGCTTTTGCGTCTGTGCTGGGTAGCTCCCGTTGACGTGCTCACCCGCCTTCTGGAACTGAGAAGCCCTGAGAGTAGTTTCAAGCATCAACCTCTTTTCTTGGGTGTGTTAACCCGGCTCTGTGATGGCCGTGTCCCCCCGGGCCCCTGCTGGCTGTGCAGGGACTGGGCTGCAGATAGTCTGGCTGTCCGCCCCCTTCCGAGTGTGCTGTCCCTTCGCTGTACTCCCTCAAACCTTTGTCGCGTCAGGTGGGGACACTTTGGGGACCAGCAGTCAGCGTTCCTCCTCACCCACGGTGGCATGTAGCTTTGCTTTTGTTCGGACATTAAGTTTTAATGAAAGTGACTTGTCTCCAGAGAGAGAAACAAAGCAGGACAGTATCTGGGCGGTTTCAAGTTCACGCTGGCTCGACGAAGGTCTTGGGGAATGAGATGGAGGCCAGAACGGACGCTGGACCTGAGAGCCCAGTGTTTCCTCCATGTGCTGGCTTGCCCTTTCGAAGGGAACAATTGGAGCCTGAAATTGCTAAGTAACAGCTAAGATTGTGGTGGTTGTTTTTATTTTAAATCTCACCCACCTAGCTCTCAAAACACATTCTTTATTGAACCAAAAAAAAAAAAAATGCCTTGGATATTTCAAAACATTTAGTGGTGTCGATTCCCTGAAGCATACTTACATAAGCTTAAGACATTTAGTTCCCTTATTTCCTCCTAAAACAATAGATATTTATAGTTCCTACGGAGTCAGGGACGGACTTGGATTATTGCAAAAGCAATTCTTGTCCCTTTCACGCTGAAGCAGATGGATGGAAATCTGAGACGCTTGCCTCCGGATTAAGAAATATTGACCTGTGTCTCAATTAAGATGAACGAGGGTGTCTTTGGTCGCAGTGAAAGCAGACTTGGGAGACATAAGTGACCAAACAACCTCACCACACATAAAGTATTCTGATTTATGATTTCTCTCCCCAGAAGGCACCTGCTGCTCTTTTGGGACATCCCCAATGTAGACAAGTGTTTGATTAGACAGCTGTCCAGTGTGTCGTCCTGAGACGTGGGAATGTCACAGCCATGGATGGCGTGCCATCAGCACACTCAGTCGTGTGCTCGGTACTTGGCAGTCGGGGTTACGAGGGTAAATTCCAGTACAAATAAGACAGACTCATTCTACATCAGGAGCCGACGCAGGCCCGAACACAGAAAGCCGATGTCATTAGAGATACAGTAACTGTTGTGGAAACCACCAGGAGAGAGAAATTACCTGTGTGGTAGGTGTGGCGAGGTCCAGGAGACCTTCCGGAGCAGATGACATTTGCAGTGGGTATTCAGTGATTAGTGCCTTTTAATCAAAATACCTATTTTAAAAATTATAAAAGTTAACCCTACTAATTGGAAAGATAAAAATGTGAACATTATTAAGAACACAAATTCACCAGTGTTATCACTACCTAGAGTTACCATTATTAACCTGGGTTTTCGGGGGATTTTTGTTTGTTTGTTTGTTTGTTTGTATTTGGCCATGCTCTTTCTCAGCCTGGGTGAGTTACATACTTTTTTCTTCCTAAAATGGACTGTTTGTCATAAATACTGTTTTGACACCTGATTTGATTGACAGTATGCTGAAACCATGCCACATGAGTAAATACTGACATCCCGTTGCTTACTGTTACACAGCATTTCACATGTTACGTGTCCTGGAGTGTATCCAACCAGCTCCCCAGGAGTGGGCATTTTGCTCGTCCTCCACTTCTCGTTCTTGCAGAGCGCGCCGTGGTGGATGTCTTTGTGCGCGCATTGTGGTGACCTCCCCAGTTCTACAGGCAGGATCTTTGAACAGAGTTGGGGCAGTGCCGAGGGAACATTCCAGCTAGAAGAAAGAGTGTGAGCAAAGAGGCAGAGGTAGGAAAGGACGATCTCAGTCTGGGGGAAAGGCTGGAACTCTGCTTCTCCAGAGCGGAGAAGCAGCGCTAATTGGGGCTGGAAGTAGAAGATGGGGGTCTCCTATGCCAAGCCCTTTATTCATTCTCAGTTGGGAGCCAGATTGGAATCTATAGCCTAGTTCAAGCGAAGATTCTGAGTATCTTCAGTTTTCCTTAAGTTCCCTTATGTGGGGAAGAAGTAATTAATTACTATAGATAATAGATTCTACAGATAATAGATAATTAGATAATAGTTGTAGATAATAGATAGTAGTTCTGCTTTCCAAAACTTCTTGAAAGCCTTAAAAAATCAACAAATTGGGGGGGAGTGATTAACTAACGGAAACTGTAAAGAGTGTGTGTATAGAAGAAACTGTAAGATTAGAGGAAACTGTGGTTTTAAAAAGCAAAGGAAACATCTTTAATTCATCTATTTTATATACTTATTAACAAACTATGAGGGCACCTGGGTGGCTCAGTGGGTTAAAGCCTCTGCCTTCGGTTCAGGTCATGATCCCAGAGTCCTGGGATGGAGCCCTGCATCAGGCTCTCTGCTCAGCGGGGAGCCTGCTTCCTTCCTCTCTCTCTGCCTGCCTCTCTGCTTACTTGTGATCTCTGTCTATCAAATAAATAAATAAAATTTTAAAAAATAATAATATTAAAAAAAAACTATGAGTAAAATGTAAAGACAGTTTGGGAAAGATATGGATTAGGAGACAAGTATCATAATTTAAGAATAATACTGTCTTCTGTTTACTAAGTGCTTTTATGCACTTGTATGTTTAAATGCATCATTTTACCTAATTTCTCAAAAGTTTTCCCAGGAAGAGGGCAGGATTATCTCCATTTTGCAGGTGAACCAGAGGCCTCCCAGGCTGGGTTCGGGGAGGCGACACTGGACTTGGTGTTGGAGTTCAGGGGCTGCTAGGGCGTTGGACAGGTCTCAGGACATGGCTGAGAGGGTTGCGAGGCCATATTAAGACCTGCAAGGTGACGTGTAAGAATGGCTTTCTGTCCTAGGATCACTTCTTTCATCGTCACAGAAGGGAAGAAAACACTTCTCAGCCATTTTCTCTTCCCTTTGTGGTAGATCACGTTGTTGTAAAAACACTTGCTCCTTCCTACCCGCCCTCCATCTCTGTGGGAGAATTACACTTTCCTACCCCCGTGAGGGTTGGCCACAGGGGCTGTCTTGGCCACAGGACTTACTTTGGCTGAAACAATGTGAGTAGCGATGACATTTCTCAGCAGAAGCTTTACATTAGGCCTCCGTCTGCCATGTCTCTCTGGGCCCATGTCCCAGGTCAAGGTCTGGACATTTAGTTTCAAATGATCCAAGCCCTGGCCCCAGGATCGGGACTCTTCGAA